TTGAATAAATATTATTGGCAAAACGTAGTTATCCGCCATATATTAAAACGCTGAGGTTCATAGTCTCTCAGCACATTCAAGTTTTGCAGTGCTAGTGGCGGAATTGGAAAACTTCAAAGCCATTACACAACCAGGCTATCTACTTTAATTTCTCAGCTCAATATATACCTTGTATGCAAGAATGAACCACTCTAATACTCTTGACCGATTAAGACAAACAATAACTTACAATAACATCAGCACATGAGGGGCAAAATATGTTGGCTTCAGAGAACTATAGAACAACCTGTTATCATTTTAAGCAGCTTTCTCTACCTCTACATTTAAGACATAAAGGACACAAAAATATATGGGATGCAACGTCATGTTATGATGTCCTAGTTGAAACAGACAATAATGCTGTTCATTTCTGGTTGCATTATCCAGATGGATAGAACACAAGAGCAGTAAGTGTATATTGAGTTCTCCCGATATCACTGAGATAGATGAAGTTGTAAAGACTCCTTCTGAGGTAGATTTATATGCACGTTGATGCTGGTCCCCCATTTATTAGCCACAGACTTTCTAAACAACAAAAAAATTATAAGTAGATGTTAAGAAACGAAAACCTTTTGACTCCTGCACGAAGTTTAACATTCTTTGAGTTCATTCGAATTGTCACATGTGATATCAGACTTACTACATCACGTGACGTTTTTGCTTACATTTAATGCAAATGTCCATAAATTTACTGTAAAGATGTCATGACAAACAGTAGTACTTTAAATCCGCACCTAATGATTACAGATTTGGCTCATCCACAAATGTTAACCTCAGACAACCGAACAATGCAGACGCAGATTGGGAAGAGGTGATTCAACTTGAAACTAACTGTCCTATCAGTAACTTTTAGACACTCCTTATTCCAAAAGTGTCAATGAACGGCTACCTTGTTGTGATTTTCATTAGTTTAACAACAGGACGATTTATCACTCATATAGATGTAAGTAAAATATTTTGAGAGCAAGCTCACCATCTGATCCTGGATGCAACCGAAGACAGACAAAAAGAAGTCGTCATTATGGCTTTCAGTCCGATTGAGTTCTTATGAATTCCTGTAGGTTTTTAAACAGCCACCTAAACCTATCGAAAATGTATGCCTTAGGCTATCGGAAGTGCATATTTAGCTTGAGTCTTTTCAGAATCACACCTAATTCTTCCCTAATCCGACAATTATTGGCCTTTAGAGGATGCACCGAATGGACATGTTTGGTATTGTCTACGATTAGCCTAAGACTAGCTGTTTGAACATTACAGCTATCGTATTAATCTCTGACCGCAAAATCATGGTATCTTTGTCGTAACATAGAGAATTGGCTAGTTTCATTTTTTAACTTTCTTAGCCTCATTTAATTCAGAGATCAGTTCCTTAGACTGAAAACTCTTTATATCTTAGCTCCAATGTAATCTATCCACTATCTGCAACGTCGAATTTCCAGGCTGGTTGGCTCGTGTGCAGCGCCTGCAAAAGTAAATGCTTATTAGATTTTTTTGCCGTTTATTGGCGAAGAACTATTCATTTTCGGCTTATTTTATTGTGCACAAATATGGAGAGATATCACTCAGTGTTATGCTCATGGAATATTACAGTTTATTCGCACCTGGCCGTCATCATAAACAAGCTGAGAACAAACTTTATGGAAGACATCGGCCATGACACTCACTGTGATGGCAAATGGAATATTCTGATAAACATCGTCTAAAATTTGGTTAGAATGGATATTGAATTCAACTGGCTGGATTCTTATTTCTGCTATCTTCTCAGTTCCCGTTATATATTCATCTCTCTTCTCCATCTTCAGTGTGCTTTACATATCTTATTTTCTGTGGGTTGATCTATATTACTTGGTAATATTCAGTAACCTGTCGCCTTAATAATTTTCAGGTGTACAGTATAACGAACGCAGCTTTGATGAGTAATATCTAAATAAGCTAACGATATTCACTGCATTTGTTTACGCAATTGCATCTTCTCAACCATTAAAACAATCACTTACGGTTTTTGCATTCATTGGATTCATATTTTTGATAGTTATTATTAGGTATCGGCATGTCTACCGACGTGTTAGTCACTCGGACATGTGTTGAATACCTAACATCTAACTTCCATCGTCTTATTTTCTACTGATGTGCAGGTTGTTTGGAAGAAACTATGGGTGAACAAATAAAGACAGGTAAGCAGTACACAAAATCATTGATTATGAATTAGAGCAACATCGGTAGGTGAGACAAAGTGATTTGGGTCTGCACGATACTAACTACCGGTAGTTAGATACTTTGGATGGAGTAACTCAGAATCCGTTTTCACCGAAAAACTATTTCTTCATATAACCAGTTTCCACAAAACCTAAAAATCTTAGCTTTATAACAGTGATCCTGATTTCGCTTAACCTATTTATCTTCGTTTCAAACCATTATGATTCTATTGAAGAACGAATCCATCCCTAATAAGAGCATTAAACTAAATTGTTAAGTAAATTTACTACGCATACAGTTCAACTACATTATTCACAGACTGACACCAGAACTAACATTTTACTCTCGAGTGAATTATAATTTTTGCCTATTAGATATCAGAACAACGACCAAAACTTCAAGTACTCAGCGTTGTTGTACAATATTTAGGGAATCATATACTACACTAAAATACTTATTCATTACTTTATCGATTCTCAGTTGTTGTTTAAGTAAATTTTAGTACATATTGCACACAATAAAACATATCGATCTCGCTACATTATACAAATATAAAGACAATCTGAAATGAAGTAGATTATTTTATCAGATTTTAGTTTCTCTTCACCAACTTGGAAATTATGAATGTCCTGAAACACAAACATGGTGATGATTGTAAACACAAGGATCCTAATGATTGTTATTCTTATTTGATTGTGTGAATATAAATACGTAGGGATACTTGAAGATGCATGTGTGCATATACATACATGTAAGCGGAACATAATGGTAAGTTTGAACTTAAAAATTCACTCAACAATTAGGTACACTTTGATGAGAATTTTAAGTGTAGGATGGTTTTTATAAATGAAAACTTAATTACTTATGTGAAAAATTATTCACTTGAAGATTTGCTTTTAATTTTGTACGAGAATTTTCTTTTTTGAGTTCAGTATGTTTCTGGATAAAGTGGTCAGTTCTAGTGAAACATTTTTGCTATGGTTATTTAGTTCAGATATCTCGATTTAATTTAAAGTGAAATGAGAAATCGAGGATTTCTGTCAAATTGTAGATCGATTGATGCGATAATTCACTTTAACATACATTTCGGTGTGTATCACTACAGTTTTATGGGTTAAAACTTAGTTATCTAGGTTTGTTTTATCCAACGACAAAGTAAATGTCGGACTTCAATTTTCAGTCAATACCGCTATCTAAATAAAATTACAAAAACAATAGATATTGTGATTGATAATATACGCATTTTACATTTTCACAGAATCAACACCGAGTAAATCAGAGTGTAAACGTGTATATCTAAATTTGTCTGTAAGAGAACTATAGTAATGCTATGGATTATAGGTACCGATGATACTTAGATGGATGTAATAACGATTTGTGATATTCGAAAATACATTTACCAATTTAGGGCTGAGATGTTGCTGCCTGGATCGACGATAAAGTTTGAAATAAGTATACCAAAGGTGACGATATAAACCAGCTGATTTACATCAGTTACACTCATCGAGCAAAAGTGACCGACCGGGATTTGTCATCTGATTTCGTTTAAGCTAACCTTACCGATGGCTGCCACTAGTCAAAATAGATGTTTATTCAGCATTCTAGTTTCTTCTTAAATTAAATAGCAGAAACTGTTGAAATTGGTTTTATGATGCCTGAATATTCATAAACTGTTCACATATAGCCTACGGAATTCCAAATGTACGTCCACACAATTTATAGATTGTTGAATATCAATTTGTATATTGTATATTGTAAAGCTGACTTTTAGACTATCTCTGTTAATAGTCAAGCGAGACCTGAACATCAACACCAAACTTGCTTACTGACGTCTATTATCTCCAACAGACCATGGGTCTTTGACCAGTCCCTTACAATACAATCTTATTGGGCAGGTCCTTCCTATTCCATCCAGTTATTTTTCGTTCATTTCATATCTTCTGTCAGTTCTTCAACCTCATCGTTTCCTTTTACTACGCAGAATCCTAATAAGATCTTCTCTTTTGACTCAAATGAGTGCTTTCTAGAATGTGTGTCCTATCAACCTGAGTCTCTTCATCCTAATTTTTCCCTCAGTTGGACCCTGTTATGTTCTCTCCCACAGAAGGTTGTTAGTAATAATAACTTGCTAATGGCAATCAGAACAACCGGAGCAATCAAAATCTATGAAGGCTATAAGTCATGTGAATGTTAACAGTTCTTATTCTGTTTATTTTTAAAACTGGAAACTGAAAATTTGGTAAATGTTATTGTTTTCAACCTGTGCTTTCTATAAATAAGCTACTATACCATGTAGATTTGAAGTCTGCGTTTATTAAAACTAATCATCGCACCCGGAATGTCATTTTAAGTATACATGATATTCTATTGTGTGTACTACATGCGAAATGTCTTGATTGAGTCCGTCCGTCGTAACTAAAAACATTTAGAAGGGAATGAAGTGAAATCTCGATCAGTTCTTTATTTCAGGTGTATAAAATTCATTGATTTCAAAAAAACTCTTTTTCAACTGTAAACATTTCACTCTAATGCCGTATCATTATCTTAGAATCAATATCAATCCGGTTCTAACCAATCAGAGTGGTGATTAATCATTGTTAAAAATATATTGAAATAACATGTAAAAACAGCTTGAATTATTCAATCACATTATTCTGATATGTGATTGGTATCAATGTATATAATTGAAAATTTAATTACTTAATAAAAACTAACACATCCTAACTTGATCCTGTTTCTTCACATGCTTTTCCTGCTTTTGAAAAATGATGAAATCAATTTCAAATAGCTTTAAACGATACAAATATTTTTTATTAGTTAATTATTCCAAGGAATATCATTTTAAACATAAACTTTTATGTTCAATCATTATAACTTTTGTTTTAATTACATGGACTATGGTCTACAAATTTTATGATAAACATGATTTTGCAATCCATTTACCAAATAACGATTACTGCTCGGTAGGTTTTATTATCGATAAATGGTTTTCGTCATTACATTGTGGATATAAAACAATTGAACATTGAGCGTTTTATATTGTTATTCAAGCTATTTAAATGGACCCTTCAGTATAAGCAGAAAATATTATTCTTAGGAGCATCATTAATTTTGTATTGCTTATATTTTTAATGTCATCAAGTTGTTTGTTATATGCAATATTTGATATAACATGAAAAGGGTGACTTATTAACTGTTCACACTGTGTAAGGTACAGTATGACCGGTTTATAGCCGGTATTTTAAACAAACGAAATATTTATTGAACAGGTGAAACGACTAACGAAGGACGGATAAATTTTACAAGCGAATCGCGTTAGTTTTCATTTTTCCTTGTGAATGTTAACAAATCTTTTTGACAACATTGATCTAATTGAGCACTCTAGAATGAAATATGAATCAACATTCAACAATGATGTAAATATAGAATGTTCAAACTTAGGTTACTACAAAATGTGCTTATATTGAATTTATCAACAAAGTAAAACAGAGAACAAGAATCACAATATATCATACATACCAGTCACTTCAAATAACAATAGTTACAATGCATCATACTTCACGGGCATGTTTCCCTTGATACGAAGTGTTGAAACAGTTATCAGAAATAATACTGAGAAGCGATCAATGTTAGAACACCATTAGAAACCTGGAAGCACTGGACGGCCGTTTCGTCCTGGTATGGGACTCCTCAGCAGTGCGCATCCACGACTCCTGCATCCCACAGGCTACGAACCCAGGACTTTGTGTACTGTGCGCGAACGCCCTGACCGATAGACCACTGAGCCGGTATCTAACGGTGTTAATGTCTAACTTGCTCATGTTCTTGGAGTTGCGCAACCTCAAACACAGTCTTCGGTAGACACTGCCTACACCCGAACAGGTTGAACTTTACTGGTCACGTCTTCTCACTAGAACTCGGAGAAGATTCCTCACGAAGCTAGTCACTAGTAAGCACAGGTAATTTGCATCAAGGGGTTGTGAAGATTGTTTCAAATATGTGTAACATAACAATCTTCACAACCCCGTAATGAATAATACTGGGAGTTATACATACTATTCAACATTTTGTGACTTCCGAAAGATCTTTTTTCTCTACTATGAATTCTATACTGTAGTTTCATAACTACATATGTTACCTAAAATACCATTGTCATTTTACACTTCCAGGAGAATAAAATTCACATTGTCATTTTATTCTATGGTAATCATGGTCTACAATACTTGAACAGTTTACTGAAATCGATTTTTTATCATCAAAATGGAAGATTTCGTTGTGATTTGAAAAATTGTTGTGTGTCAAATTTTTGTGATCGATTTAATGAGAACTGTCACACCAATTTATCGAATATGCTCACTCCATCATACACAACTGTATTTCATTTTTTAATCACTAATATGTCATCAAATAGTGCTTTGATGGATTTGATGAATTCCTGGAAATTACGCAACATGGAGTATTATTTTTATAGTTGTGAAGATCATTTGGTAAGTTGTTAGATGACGCTTTGTTTTCTTGTTTTTGTTCTTCATATTCTTAGTATTATTATCACTGATAGTGAGAACTGCTCATACGTTACTACTCAACGATGAAATTATGCGCATTAAAACAAAATCATTTCATTGCTTCTGCGCAATCGGTAACCGAAAATCACTTATTAAGTTGTAAGATGTGAAATAATCTGTGAAGTAGAGAGAGAATGATTAATCAAACAGTTTTTCATCTTTTTATTCAGTTAAAGTAGATAATTTTTGTTGAGATTTGTAATTGTTGATAATATATAGATATCTTTTTCACAGTGAAGTAGTTGTTTGCACAGTTGATGCATACCCCGAGCAATGAAATTCAGTGATAAGTTTGTCGCTGAAATATTTACAACGTAATCAAGATGTAAACGCATCTCATTGAATATGAAAGAGTGTAATGGTAAGTCGGGGTTTCATTTGAAATAAAAATAGATAATATAGAGGGATAGTCATTGCGGTAAATAAAAAATTAAGCTCATGCTCCTCTTACTGTTTTGGCCCACATTTGACCCATCCTGACTGTTGATTGGATGATTTGTCTAATGAAGTCAGATGAGGACAGCGAAAAGTGAATAGAAAGAGAGTGAGTTGTTGGATGTGAAAGAAGGTGTGGTGGGTGAATAGAGATGTGTAGTGCTACACAGAGCACAAACCACGGCACGAGAGACCGTATGATTGTGAGGAACCCTTAGAGCGACATGTGACTCTCGTGATGCAAACGGTGTTCCACTGTGGCAGAAAGTGTCGGTGAAAAATTTTAATAAAGATCAAAATATGTGAAAGAAGTGAACTCGCTCTTGAATTCTGTCACATGAACTCTCCATCCTGGAGAACTGAGATAAGTCTCCACATGTTTTTAGCGTAACTACAAACAGTTTTATAAAGGATCATGTTCTCAATAAACTTTGATAATTTAGTTTTACAGACACGTTTTTCCTTACGGTAAAGTACGAGATCCTCTTGTAATAAAACGACTAGAATTTTGTTGTTTGAGTCAGGTTTGTCATTTGATTTTCAACCGAATCCTTATTCAGAGCCACAGTATTTTGATTTCGGTATCTTTCGAAAGTAATTAAGTTATCACGAAATAGAGCCTCCCTTCTTGGCGGGATAGCATAAATCTTATAGCGGAATTCAGAATACGAGTCTTGTCTTGTTTGTCGCTCGTCATAAACTACATGTAACTGCATATTGAAGTTGACGTTCAATCTGGGGGTCAAACTGATCGCTGTTTACTATGAAAGCTTTTCCGTTTCCAACTTACCTTCTTATTTCCGATAGCGAACATCTTGTACAATTTCTGCAATATGATGAAGAATAAATCATTGATACTGGTTGTTTCAGTATTCTCGTTAGGTTTTAGGACAACAAGCCACCAAACTCCTTAGTGAATAAAAAATCTGATGTGCGGGCACATCTAGATGATTAAACGTAAATGGGACGAAACTTGTGTCACTGATTTTACTTATAATTACTATACAATTCTGCTGATAACCCTTGTAAGTTGAAGGCGATTTTGATGCAATCCGTACTCGATGAATATATGTCAAATGGACTAATCGTTTGCAGTTCTCAACAATACGAATATAATATAGTCGATATAAATGAATTAAACTAGTTACTATTATGACTTTTGTACCGTTTCCGACTTTTCAGGTTTCTTAGATTTGATAATATTAAAACGTAGATAGTCATTCAGTTGCAATTTTCCATCAACCAGGAATTCATAAGAGTATGACAACATTTTTCTTTTGTGTTTTCTGCATCTTTTCATTTACGTATGTCTCCAGTTTAGACACTCGGTATCTTCTTTGAAAATTTCATGTAGAACATACTAGGGAAACTGTATTCGACGACTAAACTCTTTATTTTACTACTTCATTGACCTCACATTTCTGTTGCAATTTAGTATACATTTAGTAAGGGATCAATGAGCTTAGAAACGCATTGATACTGCATTCTAGGTCAAACTCGAAACGGATCTTTGCTTCCTGATCGTGGTTTGTTTTATCTTTAGGATGATCCCGACATCGCACTAAATAGTCTGATTGACAACTTGTGAAAAACTCAATTAGTTGCTGACTGATACACTTATTCTTCCTGTAGATATATTCGCTTCTGAATAGATTTTAAAAATCAGTTTAGTGATTTCGCAACATCTCACAAGTGTGGATGATTGAAAATCATTAAATTCTAGATTTTTGATAATTCTAACCTGTTTTAAAACGTCTGCAGTCGTAGTTGCAATGGAGACTACATCTTATCCACAGTAAATGATACTTCCTGATATTTTCTGGAACACTTCAAATTATTGTCCAGTTGATGTTAAATATGCGTAATCTTAATCATGTTTTCTTTCAAACACAGTAAATGTTTTCTAGTTTTCTGCACTTTCAATCACAAATTCTTCACTAGTGTAGTTATATTTCCGAACAGATATTATTCACTTTCTTTATTGCAACAATCTTTGTCATTTGATAAATGTGAGGTGGTTATCTTTTTATTCACTCTGGTCATAGACTGATTCATAGAATCAATATAACTAAAAGATAACAACGATATTATATCTATAATATATCACTGTTATCGGTTTTGCTTTGTATAATATTGTGTAGGAAAATCTTCACTGGATACAATCTTATCATCCAGCAGGTTTGGAACCTTTTTTAAAACTAATGCTAACGGAGATTCTTCCATCAAACATCAGTAGGGTGAGTCCCTAATCATGATTCATTGAATATATGTAAGCAAGAGCGAAGTTTGAGTTTGAAAACGACAAAATGAGAAAACCATTTAATAATCATGAGAAGTTCCGTGAAGGGCGCATGTATGAAATCGGATGAGAAATTTTTCTCTACTCTAAGAAAGTATAATATTCGTAGAAAGACCAGAAATTTTATGTAATACTGAAGGGAATTTATTTGAAGATTTTTAAGTCCACACCATCTTTTATTCGTCAGTCAGAATTCTGTTTGTATATTGGTAACAATTCATGCAATCAATGTTATCATGTTCAGTATTCAATATCTTTGTCTCAAGCTTGTATAAACCAACTTATTTATTACCGCTCGATTCTTGTTATTTCGAAACGGCTTATCATTTATAATAAATACGTGTGACTTTGCTACGAAAAATAATAACGTCTGTATGATGCAAGTATATCGTTCTAGGCTTGAAACTCACTGTATATCTTGAATTCGTTGAGTTTGAGAGAGTCCTGAAAGAAGTCATATATGAATTCTGTGATGCTGTTCGTCAAACTGTCCAGTGCTTTATCAGAATCAGTTTCATTTAGCAAACAAAGAGATGATTTTGTGAAGCTCTGTCACGTCATTTCTTGCACTTTACATCCTCATCGTTTGTTTAAACCCTAAATTAAATCGGTTTCGGCTGGTGTGATACGGTGAAATCGATGTCAGTCTGCGTATGCAGTTGTGTTTGAATATGGTTCCATCTGTGTTAGCTTTGTTGAAGTCATGAATGTTTGCGAATCTGTCATCATTTTCGTTCCACTTCCCAATCGATGTCATCACCTGATGAATGCACATTTAGTGTTGTTCAATGCAAACTTTGCGTTAAAGTCTGCAATCAGAATTGTAACTCATTTATGAACGATTGAAAGATGCCCCCTACAGAATAAATTTTCATGGTGGTAGTAGTAGTATTTTCCGTTTGCAGGTGCATAGTACTGAGTGGTATTTATTGTGATAATCTCATTACATTTTCTTCAAAAATACTTTGATGCTGTGTTCAAGGGTATTTGAGGTTCATATTCTACATTTGCTGTCCTGCATTCCTTGGATACCGTCAGTGCGATTCATCATAAGGGACCTATCCCCATCTTCATGAATGGAATACAGCATCAAGCCTTTTACCGGTAGATTAACACTGCACGGTTCACGAATGCAGTAAAACTGCACAATTCCCATAAGTTCATAGTGACATATTTAAAAAAATTAATCTGAAGAAGTCATAGAGTGATACAATATGTTTTCTGGTAACTAAGTATTAGTAAAATATGGACATGAAGAAATTTAACTGAATTTCGGTGCATTGGCAAAAAATCATTTCGATGCGTGTATGTGATCTGATTAATACAAATAAATTTGCCAGTGATGGACGTTATTTTTTTTATTATTGTACAAAAATCAAAATACTTATACAACCAGTTGGTTAACGTGATGGTTTTCAAAGTGAATGGTAATAGGTATAGGTCATTAAGAGAATATTTACTCAGGACGTAGATTCCTCTGGATCATGCAGAGTCTGTAATGAAGCAATACGAACTTCTTGAAATAGAATGCTGTTTTATTCTACACGAACATGATTCAGCAATTTTAGGTTGGAATTGAAATTCAGCACAAAGTTTTTGATAAAATATCCTTGGCTCCAGTCCGCGAGCAAACATCGTTGATACTTTCCGCTGCTGAGATTCATACTAGGGCTCGGCGCCCGGACAGAGCTCTCGTATTTCTTTGTGATGGCGACCAAATAGTGCTCGATTTCTGATATCGATTACATTATGTACATAGATTACGCCATGAAGAATATTGCAAAGCTTTACATAAATCATTGTAAATTTTTCCTTACAGGTTATTGTTCTTGACATTGACATACTTCTAAATGCAAACATTGTTGAATTATGGAATCATTTTGAAAATTTTAACGATACTCAGGTTTGTTTTTGATAATATTCAGAGGCGAATGATAACATTACTAATTTTAAAGTAAAATTATATTTTTTGATCATAAGTTAATTTTGGAGATGAATAAATAAGTGATATGGGACCCAAACTGAGGAATAACTGTCCAGGTAATTTAGATACTTGCCTTGACAAGTTTAAATGCAAAATAAGTGATCTGATTAAGTAACGGTTCTATTATTAATCATAGATAAAAATATATATCATTTTCGAACACAATGCTGCTGCGTTATTCCTTCGATTATTCAAATAACTGATATTCTATCCCCATTATATCACAGAGTGTTTCCAATTCTGAAAGATTGCTCCAATTTTCAATCCGAATTACACACTTCCACTCAGTGTAAGCTCTTCAGCCAACATAGGAACAAAATCAATATAGCTCCTGCCATAACTCAGTATCAGGTTAACCAACATACTGCAGGTCGGAAAAAAACATAGAAATTCAGTCAAGGCACAAAACATAGAAACTAAAATGAACTATAGTTATTACATCAAGAAACGTAGTCGAAAAGATTAAAAAATTGTGGAATTGAACAAATCAATAAGGGCATACAAATGTATACACGGAGGGATGTTCATAAATAAAGCCTTCCATAACGGATCTCACAGTGTTAAAATTCTGATTACATGATGTTGATTAGGCTTGTGACAATCGCCAAGTTTCATTGCAATCAGTTAATGATCAGTGTTAGACAATTATTGTAAATAAACCTTGAAGCAGTGGACGGCTGTTTCGCACTAAATGTGAACTTACCAGTAGTGTTGATACACGACCCTAACACATGGATATGGAATCCAGTGCTTTTGATCCGTGTCCTTAAGTCTGACTTGTTAATCAATGTGTTGGCATAGGATCGGGTCAGTGTCTAAGTGGAAACAGCCTATGTGTTATTCAACAGCTCAACCATACTGTGAACTATGAACAAAAATATTAGATTAGCTAAAAATGTATTGACTAAATCATTTGAAACTGTGATATGAGAAATAATGTAACAAATGTACCATGGTAAATGGAATATTGATCGATAAATGCAGCATATAATCACTAAGATTTATTTGGTTCCTTTTATTATTCGTTATTTTTACAAACTTATTACCAGTGCTGTTTAAATTTCTTGTATTATTCTTGAGTGAACATTTTTACAATTCAACTACTTTTCATTCGCTTTAATAAAGAGTATTGGTATTGCAATAGAACAACATTGGTATTTTCGATTGATTATGCGAAATTTAGAAAGTAACTGGAAAGTGAGTTAAAACACTTTGTAATATATTGTTTCCTATTGCAAATAATGGATTTTTTTATACACTGATTAAGTGTCAGTTCGAACAACTATTGCTATCAGCTAGTACATATTATTAATTTAATTCTGTTTTCAAGTTGAAATTTTGCTGCTTACTTGGTGATTTATGTGCAATAGGAAATCTTGGTGTATATAGTCATCATAAATGTTCAAATCAGTATTACTATTATTATGATAAAATATAAGTTCACTTGCTCGATGAAATCTTCGAAGAAAAGTTGATGAAAATCATAAAGATGGCCAAACTTATAACAATATATCAATGACATACCTTATTGTTTCTCGGAATGAACCATACGATAAAATTATTGAACGTTTATAAGAACTAAAAATTACAACTATCGAACATACGATTTATCTATCTATGTCTATTGTAAAATGTAATCAGTCATATGTACAATTTTTTATTTTAGGGTTATGGATATAATAACGGTGTACTATTATTTGATCTGTCCAAACTAAGATCAACTTTATGGAAAAAGATATGGATATCTTTAACCAAGGATGCACTGAATAAACAAGGTTCTTTAGCCACAGGAGATCAGGTAATTTTGGAACACTTGCACAATCATTTGGAATATTTCAGTAAAGTAATTTCGCGTCACACATTTCTATCATTTCTCGTTTAGCTGGAATCTGGTTGGTCTTCTCCTACAGTGGGATGTTATTAAATATATTTGTTCGACTGATTCTCAGTACGTAAATTAGATAACTGTCAATGAAAACACGTTATACTTAAATGATATCTTTTATAGTTCTTCAAGTTCCCCATGTAAACATTACGCAATATACATAGCGAATTGCCCTATGTGAAAAATTGAATTGCAGAACAGCTACGACTACCACTAATACTACTACCACTACTACTCCTCATACTATTACTACTACTACTAATACTACGACCACTACTACTACTCATAATACTACAGCTGTACGGAAATATGTACCAGAAAAAACATGGTATGCAGATAGCAGATATCAGTGTTTCTGTCTTCAGCATCGATGATGTTGACTTTTAGGATTGATGAGTCCCGTTTTTGTTGTGTGCATTCTCACTCGGTAATCTCACATTCAAAATCGTTTATCAGCAGCGATTGCATTTCGTACGGGACTCAAAATTTGTGTATGCCCTCATTTTATTGTTAATGTCCATATGAGGACTCGAACTCACCTAACTTGCATATTGAATCCTGACTGAAAGACCTGTAACTTTAACATTTTTGAAGATGCTCTGTTTTTATGTATTTCAAAGCAAGTTAAATATTTCCTGTCTGTTTAAGGATACTGCAGATAATGTACATTAAAATCAGCTTAGACTATACTTTGCGTTTCAAATTCCTAAGTAATTAGTTTTGGAAATGTTCTTGATTTCCATGTGATCAGCTCATTTTAATTGGCTTTTCAAATCTCACTCTCAATATTGTTTAGTTCCCCTTGTCGTATGAGGCTTGTTTTACTAGTAGGAACGATAAACTTAACACAATATAAGAAGGCAGTTATTCAAACATAAAACAATGAAACAAAAAATTTCAAAAAACAATGTATTTGAATATGTAACTTTTAGGTTATTCATATTAAAATAGGTAGGTTTCTAATTAGTTACTTGTTTGTCTTCTATCGATTTTAGGATATTTTAAATTTAGTGTTATTTAATTACAAATATATTTTGTATGAGATTCCATGTGAATGGAATATTCAACTAAGTGATAAAAGTGATGCAAGACGATGTCCTGTGAGTTGGTTAACATATTCAGAATTGAAAAAACGCAATTTTTCAACAACGTTTAAACAACCGAAACTGATTCATATCAATCATCGTAGAAAAGCAAATGATGTATCATGGAAAAACATATCAACTGAAAACATTGATCAATCGGATACGATGCTTCAAAGTAAGTGAATATATAGCTTAATTCCATATAACTAATAAGACGTATCAATGACTTCATAAACGAGCTCTGAACACAAGATATCAGATTGAACATGAAACTGCTTAAACTGTTGACCACTGAACCAGCATCTGATAGAGCAGGCTCATCATCTGCCATCGTCGAAGGGGAATTGCCCACCGTTCGACACCTTTGCATTGCAGTCATTTCAGCTAATGACTGGAAAGCTGAGAATTCCCTTATGAACCTCTTCACTAGTGGGTAGAAGTTACTGTTCATTAAAGGGTTGTGGAGATGGTTAACTGAAGGCTGAAAATTGGATCAAGCGTTTCAGCGTTCACACGCTAAATCGATTACCCTGAGCAATCTACACAGATCTACTCCAACAGGCAATTTCAGACACTCAGTTTCCGTATATACATGTGAAAGATTAATTTCAATACCCTGACGCATCTGAAGCATGAATTCATATATTACTTAAAATCGCGTCAAACGTTTGGAGGAACAAATCGAATATTACATTACTCAATAGTAATGACGGTTTGACATAACTTTAGCGACTTCCGCAATAGTCAAAATAAAAATACCAAGTTTGTGATGTAACCGATTTCACTGAAATTACTGATGGCTTAATGTCAGCACTCCTGAGCGTCATTGTCATTCATATGCTGCCTTGCTGGCAGCAAACAGTTTTACAGTCATGTAAACAGGATGGATCAGATTGACTTGTTCGTGCTCTGAATATTGATTGACGCGCTAATAAGCACTAAATATGTACTGCTGCAAATAAGCAGTGAATGGTCGACCAGAGTGTCAAATATCTGTGTGGTTGCCAGACGATAGTTAGTCAAACACTTCATGTGGAAGGTTTAACCCGTGACAGTCTCTTGTTCTCCTTTAAAAACAGTGTAAAACTACCCTTAAATATTTACAATGAATTTATATAATGAAATTGTACATGACAAAATGATGAAAGACACGAATCAATGAAGGTATTCACATTAATTACAATTTTCCATTGATAAACTCATCAAATTATTCTGTGACTACGTATAATGTATACTAATAAATTCTTATTTTTCTTTATAGAATCCGATTTATATATGAAATATATATCGCTTTATCGTCAATATGCTAGTTTAAATGAATCGTGTTTCAAATAGACTCAAGCTAAGCACAATGATCTCATTCTTTGAAAAGTTTTCATTTTTTTATTTTCAGTTTTATTACTGATACAAAACAATGGACAGATTTGTAGGTATTAAATCGATAAAATTGTTTAACACTTACAATTTTTCGTTTGTTCATTTAAATATACTCAAAAAGAAATTGGATTTAAAAAGTGTTGTTCTGAATAGATTTATAACAAGTGTTTTCAACTTAAGACTTATTAGAATGTAATAGTTTGATATAGTGAACATGTAGTTCAATAAACTTTGATAAACGATAGGCCAGTAATAGCAAATAACGTTTTGTTATAAGTTATAAGTTGCACAGTGTCCTGATGTTAACTATTCTAATCGAAAAATAGTTTTGGGTGTGTGTCTTCGAGTTTCCGTTTGATATATTCTTTCGGCAGAAATCGGTTATCTACTTAAGTCTGTTACTGCCAATGTGGCACAGGAAAACACGAGCTTACTCCAAAATACTCTGTGACAGTTAGCTGATGTTGATTGTATCCGGCCAACTTATATAAAGTATCTTGTGATGATATCTATGAGTGTGGAATGATGACAGGTATGTATCCAAGTATCCGCTCCAAGAAAAATGGAACTGTCTTGTTGTCCGTATTGAAAAAGGTGACTTTAATATTGGTTGATAATTGTTTGGCTATCAATAATTCTGGCTAGTTAATTGACGGCTTCTCCAACTTCTAATGTTTATCAACCAACAGTGAATAGCTCCGTACATGTTGTGTTTAATCAGAGGACGTTTGATTTCCTACTGTATCTGTTAAGATCTACTCATAGTAGGTTGTCCTACACTGGCAGTCTATATCTGCATTTGTGGAACAGAAGAATAACGAATTTGCGCAGTCTAATAGGTTAAGTGAATTCTGAGTATGGCCCATGATGATGAGACATTGATAGTCAACGAAATATCAGATGGATGAGAATGTCTGACAGTAAGTGATTTTGTTTGAAACTAAATTCATTTATATTGAGTCCGTAAGCTGCTTTATATGCACGATTCTGCAGTGTAGTGTATCATGAATATTCCTTCTGTCGTTGTTGATCCTCTGTGAGACATCTTCGCCTAAGCACACCGTAGAATCATCAATGTCCACGCAGTCGACTGCCTTCCATCAGTCGATCAGGTCGATGTCTATTTGTCCGGGTCAAATGGTCGGTAAAATATTGACACTTGAATAATCGAAGCTGCCTTTTACACATTTTGAACAGTTCAACAACAATCTGCTGACAGCGTTTCCAGGTACTGAGACTAGGGTAATTCCTCAGCCCTTCTCAAACTTTCTGAGATTCTTGCTTGTTATTTTGACAAGATGATCTTTTCTTCAATCTATTATTACTTCCTATTGCAACGAATCCTGCTGAGTGGAGCATGAGAGGTTTTGTAATTACTGTATTCTTTATTTTCTGTACCTCAGCTGCTTTTCGCTCGTGAATTTTCTGACTCGCATAACAGTAAACCGTTGTAGAGCTGTATAACAGTGAAGAGGGTCATCTTGAATACATCTAGTTTGACAGTGTACTGAAAAGTGTTCAGGTAGAACTTCTGTGACACTGTTGATCAAATTATACAGTGCTTCACCGGAACCAATCTCGCCTTGCACGCAAAATGGTGATGGTGTGAAGCTCTGTCAAGTCATTTCTTGCTTCTTACGTTCCCCATGGTCTGTTTAAACCTTACATTAATTCAAATTAGATGGTTTCTGTTTCGGGTGGTGTCATTCGGTGAAATCATTATCAGTCTGCGTATTCATTTGTTCGTGAATATGGTTCAATCTATATCAAGTTTGTTGAAAGAATGAATGTTTGCTAATCTGTCATCATTTTCGTTCCTTTTTTCAATCGATGTCATCATTTGATGTATGCGATTCTTGTGTTGTTCATACCAAACGTTTCGTTGAATTAAAATTGTTTCATGAAAAAAATGAAAGTTTTCTTTGGCCCAAGAAAGAAGATTAGAAATAGGCTATTGTTTCGTCAATTCTTTCCTTCAAAAAGAAGATGCCAAGTTTAAATCTTTGATAAATGAATTTATGCATTAAGCATGAGTTATTCCTTTTCCGGATGTGAACAGTTAAGATGTTTGTTTGATGTGAAATAAGATATCAACTAATTAAGCTATGTATATAATTTTTTTTACCACGATATAATTCATGCCTTATCAATCTGATTCCTTTATGGCTCATTGCTCACTTTAATTGTGAATACATTGGATCTTAATGTTTCTTAAACTTTCCTACTTACAAAGCAACCAAAAATCAATTGTATATATAACAAGCAATAATTAAACGATGTGAGCATCATAAATACTTACTGCGTTACGATGGTAGTTGACGATATTCTAACCAATGAGAAGGCTGTAATATATATACAGGATAGTTATATATAGATTTCAGTACAATTGTCTCTTGAAATCTTTTACTTTCCATGAACCATGTAACTAAAGATTCTGTGCCTGTGGTTTGTTACATCGATAGTAGTTTTTCAACAGTTTATGTAGGAGCTCAGTAATCAGAAACTTCATGCACTCGGATAACAAGATGTGGATAAAAATATTTCTATTTTACATACGCTACAAGTAAACTGAAATCTATACAAAGAATTTGTTTTGGGAAAATGTGTGTTCCTAAGGATATCTAGCATATTATTTTACTAAATTCAGTCAATATAATATCAAGACGTTTATTTACATCAGCAGATGTATGTATTGAATTCAAACAAGAATTAAACACACTGAATAAAAGTGGGCTACACAATGTTTATCAATAAACGTACAGATTGTCATGAATTCATGCTATCGATTTGGCAATACCATGAATCGAATGACTATTCGTACATGAAAAGAATGACAGTGGATGCTATCTCCTCACTTTCATTTTGTAGAATAATTCCTTTCAGAGTGCAAAGAGAATCAAAGACTAGTAATTCATTTTTGCTCATTCATAAAAACGGAAACATTTTCAATATTTAGTTTGTTAATCAATTTCCATAAGTAAAGGACAATGAATTTGAACATCGTGAACAGTCGCGTTACACAGATAACATGTTTACCTACTTTGAAACCGGAAGATCAAACGACGGGATCTACGTTGCTAATACATTCACCGTTTACGACATTAAGGAAAAATAATATTACGGATTTGCATTCTGTCTCATTAGAAACACGATTAGGGTAGGTGTTCTTTCAGGAATTCGGAATACACTTTTGTCCATATGATTGAAATAAAGGTACAATTCATATATT